AAAAAAAAAAAAAAAAAAAAAACATAGGTTTACTTAAATTAGGAATCTGCCTTATATGAATATATTAAAATCACATAACTAATTACCAACCAAAACATATATCTAAAGAAAAATTGAAAATAAATACATTACCTTGTAATCTTGGTTCGACAAAACCTCTAACAAGTTCTTGTGAAGGAACTTAGCCAATTTCCAACTCTAAGCCTCTAAGCCACTTGTTGGAGTGGATTTTTTTTCGGTTCTCCGTCTTCCTCTCTCTCAAAGCCCTAACAATTTCATTTTTCATTTTTATTTTTTTAGTTACATAACCCTCATTTAACAAACTTTTCCTAATTTTTTTTTTCACTTGTAGGTTGAGGGAGATTTTCTATGAATTTTTTCTTTTCTATCACAACCTGAAATTTAGATTTTAAGTTATTAAATAACATCCAACAAATTACAAATTAAAGGAAAAAGACAAAGAAAATTTATGTAGGAATCCAGTTCGTGTGTTACACATAATTTTAGGGATGCCATATTTTCAAAAAATTCATTGAAAGACCATACTTCAACAAAAAAAGAAAAAAAAATCGGTATCAAAAAACAGTTGAATAGATGTCGATCAAGATAAAATTGCAACTTACGTACTCTCACATTCCTCAACACATGGGCTGAGTACAGAAGCTCCTACCTTAACCTGTGGCACGCATTAATTCGTCAATAGGACTTTGAGGATATCCACCATGCTTATATAATACCAATTTTTAGAAGAGAATTTTGTTAAGCTCATTCTTGCTATTACAAAGGCGTTGAAAGGGTTGTGATGCCTTTCCGTTATGGTTATAGGAACATTAGTTTTGGGCTATACTAGATAAGGTATACCAAGAGAAAAGCCTATTTGACAATGTTTCCAATGCAAGTTACCAAATTCTCAAACTCTAGCTTGACCACAAATCAATATATAGTAAGTTGTTCGTACATCTTTGTGATTTACTAGTGCATTCAATTTGCATTGGGTTAGGGTGGAGTTTTTAACCAATTTCATGTCATGATTTTGACTCACAAAATTTACTAGAATTGGGGTAGGTAGTTGAAAGAGAAAAAGTATTACAAATTTCTTGATTTTGTATGGAAAAATAGGCAAATTTGTATTTGGAATTCATCTACAAAGATAGACATTAATGATGAACCAAATCAAGTAGACACTTACAAACAATACAATTACAAACAATAATGAGGAAAGGAAAACAATTCTTTCTTTCTTTTTAATTATTAAAAATATAGAGAACTTACAATTTTAATTGGAAACATTCCTCTAATGAATTCCCTCGGAACTTCTATACTAAATAGACTATACAAAATTGTGATCAGTCAAATATTGCAAAGCCCCGGTATCTATTACCAGTCAGAATTGGACTGTAACAAAATTTTGGTCTAAACCAGCACCGTAATATCTTATTGGGGAGGATGATTAAAATTAGAGATTGACTCGAGAAGCAAAGATATGAGTGCGTGTCAGTAGGAAAGAGAAAATATCAATCCTAGTTCTATCATGAGCTATGGGTTGGAAGCTTAAGATAAATTATGGGAATGTTTCTAAAGTGGAATTTTTCTTTGTCTTTCTTTAATGATAAGGAGAGAGAAAAAAATTTGGATCAAAAGAAAATGTCATTTTGGATATTTTAAAATGAGATTTTGAGAATGTATGGACATAAAATTCAATTAGTGAACCTAAAGCTAAGTTGAGAGAATTTGATTTGGAGAACAATGTAAAGCAGAAACTAGTAAAACTAAGTAGATTAAAAAAAAAAAAAAGAAGTTAAAAACTATTCCGATTGAGTAAGTTTGTCAACATTACTGTACACATGAACATTTATTTCAATGAAGCACTTGAGTTAGATGAATCATGTTGCCCATGAGAAGGCTTAATATGGCATGATAATCTTATGTACGAAATTTGGTGACCATTAGGTTATGATAACGGGCTAAACCAAGTATAGGTGTAAAATGATTAAAATGACCCTATAATTATGTACCACTAGTTTATGACCAAAATGACCTAAAAATAACATCAAATTTGATGAGGAGCCTTGTGTCATGGTGTAAACGAATTACACAAAGTTACAAGGCCATTGGAATATGTTGAAGAATTAAACCAAGATTTAGGGTAGTAAATGACCAAAAGACCCTTATGAAAATTCTATGACGTTTTCAAGATCCTAGAAGGCCAAGTATGAAAGATTTTAAAAATTATAAAAAATTTGGAGTATAAATTAAGATTTAAAATACATAACTATCTATCAAGACGCGTTATAAGAAATCAAAGATTTTATGAATACCAAGTGATAGGCTTACGAAAGTTTTATGCATGCAAAAAAATGTTTACTCATATGGACGAGGGTATACTGGTTAAAATTTTTTGTTTAGTTGTAATTTAAGACTTAATAAAGAACCCTTAGAATAAAGAATTAAACAAATAAAAATAATTATAAATAATAGTTAAATAATAGTTAAATAATAATTAAATAATAATAATAATAATAAATAAATAAATAGAAGAAAAAACAACATTTCCCCCTCTCTCCACTATAACCTCTCATCCCTTCCCACAATTATCTCTTCAACCCATCCTTACCCTAGTAACATTTATTGCAAAAAGAAACAGAAAAACAACAATTCCCAGGTTTACTTGAGAAAAAAAAAGAAAGAATGACCTTTAAGCAGGTGAGATTCAGGAAGATTTAGGTGAAGATAAATCTGATTAAATCTTCATTTCTTTTTTAGAAATCACAGGTAGACCTTCATTAAATTATTAAAATGGTTTAGCTTTGAGTAAAAAACTAAATGACAATAATTTATACTAATGCTAGTAAATGAGGTCACAATAGTAATATTAGGTTAAATTTATATCAGTAGCCAAATGAATAAATTTAAAATAGAATGGCCAAGAAAATTTGTGAACGAAAAACATTGAGATAAGGAAAGATTTAGAAACAGGGATCCACTAGAAATTTAGAATACATGAGAACAAAATTAGAAGGCGAAAGAATAAATATAGATAAAAAAAAAAAGATTCAGTCGTTAAAGACTCGAATTTGGAATCTACTTTTTTTTATACACTTTTTTTATACAACAGTAACCATGAAAAATAAGATTTTTATTAAAAATATAATTATAGATGAAATGTAACCCCGTTAGGATAAGTATGATACGTAGACTAAAAAATGAGAAATGACATGTTAAGCATGAAAGATGATAGCCGGGTTATATTCATTAATTATAAAAGTAGAAATATTTGGGACCTCATGCATTATGTGTGCTCATGCATTTGAGGATACCCCTATTCCATCAGAGGGTACGAACGCGTACATCCAATGGCAGGACAACAATCGTTATGTTTTGCATAGCGCTGCCGTGACGGTTACTAGTTCTAACGGGTATCCGGCCTAAGGAACTCCCAGAGTATGCTCGCCCGACAAGGAAAGTTGCCCAGCAGTGTACGAACTGACTAGTCAGCGTACTGGCTGTGTGTAGAGTATATGGTACACGACCAAATTACCCGTTAGGACAGTACTGTAAGTAGATAGATTGAAAGGATAGTCCATTCGCATGTTCTTGCATTTAACCCCAATAGTGAGGTCACTTACTGAGTATTTTTTTAAATACTCAAGAATACTCAAGTCATGTGCTACTACATTTTTCAGGTTAAGGCAAGGTATTCCTGTATAGCTGACGACGATATCGCAACTCGAGACCATGACACATGCATAGGATAGTGGTATTTATTTTTTTTAGACTTAGGCTAGAATAGGATGTTTTTAACTTAAACGTTTATTTATTTTATTTAGTCTTTTCTTGTGTCGTTTTAAAGATGTTTTCAAAACACGTAAGTCCTATTAGGATCGATACCAGTTGTTAGCTCTGATACCAATTGTTAGGATCGCTTGCACACACTCATCAAGATGAACACAAAAACAGGAGAGAGAAGATACAAAGATGAATATTGGCTAAAGTTTTATTATTTATGACCTGTACAACAATAGAGAGCTACGTGGGTGGTTTCAATTTACTAAATATAGCTTCCAAAGATTTAACACAAACATATAATCTAACAAATATATCTCTATCCAATCTTTACCAATTATCTACCCTATATATCTCTATCCTATCTTTATCTCTTAGATCTATCCCTATCTCAACAACTCTAGTAAATATCTTCCAAATATATCTGTAGCATATCTCTCCATATCCCAACAAGTCCACTCATGATGTTTTATGGAATTTAATTGAAGTCTTCTACATATTCAATGTTTATTGTTCGTATACATCAGCAAAATTAAATAGAAAATTTCGGGTTCTTATAGGAAAACTTCCTGTATTTGATTTGTGGCCAAGCTAGAGTTTTGAGAATTTTAGAACTTTTCTCTTACAACACAAACCTGAATAGTCGTCTTCTCTTTCCTTATTCAATCACTAAAAGTTCCTAAATCTAACTTCCTACTTTATATATCCTTTATATATAAATTATATATCCTATCCTAACTAATTAGTTTGAAGATATAATATAAGTTTTAAAATTTTGAAAATCAAATTTCATTGGAATGGAACTTTTTAACCTCAAAAAAGACATCTAACATTTTTATTCATAAAATTATTTATTAAAATTGAATGAATGTTAAAGTGCATCATTTCCAATGATACATTAACTTGAATATATTGAGAGATCCAAAATATAAGTAAATACCTTCCTCTCGACCGGCCCAAATGCAATTATTATCATCACATTGATCATTAAACCAATACCCTTTTACTGGCCAAAAAACATCTCCATTAACTTGTCCATATTTGCTACTAAAATGGAACGAAAACAACGTAGAAATACAAAAATTTTCTTTAAAACTCCAGCTGTAATTTTCTCCAGTACGGAGTACGTGCTCGCCCAGATCGTCATTTGCTGACTTGGAATGAACAATTAAAGTTGAAGTAGTCATCCCATTTAAAATAGTCACTTTCCATCGAGATAACGATAATTGTAACTTAGATTCTGCAAAACAAAACTTCATTATATTGTTCGATGCCAAGGTAACCAACACGATTAAACAAAATATGCTTAGAGACTTCATTTTCTTCTCCAAGATTGTTCACACTTTTTTACAAACTTAATTAGATTCTATCTCTTATATATACATAAATATAGCCAAAATGAGTGGTACGTGGTTATATTTAAACACAATTAGTGATATGAACTAAAAAACATCAATCATACAATATATTTCAATGACGATGTGAAGAAAAAGTTGTCAAAATTATCAAAAGATGTTTCAATGCATACCACATTGAAGAAAGTGAAGTTTGATTGTTATAAATTTTGGGTGGGTTACAATTTAGAGTTTATAGGACTTTTTATTTACTTTAGGTTACAATTACATAATTATTAATTATGACCATTAAGTATGAATGTTACAATTCTTGGAATGCCTAGTACTTTTATTTTGAGGTTATATAAAGCCATGTATGTTGTATTTGTAAGAGACTTGGAAAATGTAGTAAAAGAAGCATTTGTGCTCTTCTTTAGCCAATGACTAAGTTTCTTTGCAATTCTATGTAGTTAGGTTGCATATCGAATCATTCAAGCTCGACATGATCAATCTTGCTTGTGGAGTGATTCAAATCTCAAACAATTGTTTGAGGTATTTGATCAACAAGAATCATTCAAGCTAGACATGATCGATCTTGCTTGTGGAGTGATTCGAATCTCTAACAATGTTCTTGCCTTGAGATATTCGATCAACAAGGTAATCCGAATCTTACTCCCCTTGTAGTGGTTCCTTATCTTATCAATTAGTTAAAAGTGTTGTGTAAAATTTTGTTAATACAACATATATTCCATAATAGGGTGGGATGGTCACCTCAACTTTCTTAATTCTCTTAACTGATTTTTTATTTTATTAATTCCTTTTAAATAAAGTTTAAAGCTTGACCATTCATTATTTAGAATCTGGTTCACTTTTTAAATGAAAAAGAAATTAAGAAAATAATGATAAAAGATGGTTAAATATTTTAAAATAAAGTTTCTGGCATCGAATATTATGTCACTACTAAAATTATATTTTATTTAAATACATTATAACCAAAATATTATCCCAAAATATTATTATAGTCATTATATAGATTTATTGGTAAAAATTTTAAAAATATGTTTATGTACTTTAAACTAGAAATTTTAAAAATTACCTAAAGAAAAATTTTGTTTTAGATATTTTAAAACTCGCGAGATTAAGGCTAAAATTACTTACGGCTTCTAAATCTTGTACAACATTCCGGTTCTCCTTGGTGCATGGGTTGATAGAACTGAAATCCCATGAGTCCAGTCATCTGAGCTTGAATTCGGGCGAATTAGCATGTGTAAGTTCGACTCCAATTGGATTCATCTTTTATTACATTACTAATTTTAGTTTCTTTTATATATATATTATATATTTTATATATATTTTAAATTTCTCATACCTCAATATTTTATACTATTTTTAAACTATTCATTCACTCTATACTATTTTTAAATACATATATTATAACACGAATGAGCTTCTTTTTTAATTTTAATAATATAGTTTTATTGAATATGATTTATACATGCATTTAGGATATTTTAAAACAAAAGTATATAATATTCGATATACATATATTTGAAAGTATATAATGCTCCGTGTTCATCTTTCCTCTCATCAAAAGGATTCGTCCTCGTATCACGAAAATTATCACCTACATCAAAAGGAGTCAAGTCATTAACATTGTAAATAGAACATACTGAAATTTCTCCGAGAAGATCAATTTTATAGACATTGTTATTAATTCTTTTCAGAATAAGAACTTGACGAGGGTCATCCCTCATTGATGTAACTTGGTCTTTCTTTGAGATGTGAATCGCTCTTTGTGAAAATGTATCACAAGCCAGTCATCGTTGAAAAATAATTTTCTTCCATTCTTTGTTAATTCCTGAAGCAACCCTTCACCTCTTTATGCAATACTTTGATTAAATGTGTCTTACTTTTGCTGCTTCACTCACAAAAAAATATTAGAAAGAATAGGAAACAAATCAAGAAGCATAAGTGGAATAAATTCATAAACAACTTCAAAAGAATAACAATGAGTGGTACTATGAATTGCTCTCTCTACAAATGACAAACTTTCGTCTCAAAACTTAATATTCTTAGAAATAATAACTATCCTATCTGTCTGAGGATGACATGTAGTTGAAAACAACAACTTGGTACCCAACTTACCCTACAATACATTCCAAAAGTGACTTAAAAGTTTAACATCCGTATCTCTAACAATTATTCTTGGGTTTCCATGTAATCTTACTACTTCCCTAAAGAATAAGGCAGCAACATGCTTTGCATAATCCCTAAACAATTATTCTTGACTACAAAACTTGTGAACATCGTACTTCATCTTCGATCAAAAGAAGTGTTCATGCAACATATTATAAGTTTTATTAATCCCAAAATGTCTCATTAAGCCACCACCAAATTAGACTAGCTCTAAAGATAAACTAACAACCCTTGCTAAACCTATCGAGTAAGTGACTCTATTATTTGCTTGGTTGGATGAATTGTATTGCGTATTATAATGCATATGTGTTTCCCTTGAGCATGTCATAATTATAATTGTTATGCTATCCAATGTCGTGTTATGCCATGTTTATAAGCTAGACTATAGTGTGATATGTTATAATAATATGTTATTATGATGATAATCTATGATGTGTTAGGACGTGTATATGAAAGATTTGATAATTATGTCTGCATAATTACGTTATAAATGGAATTGGAGGTTTGACTTGCAATATAAATTTATGTCGTTATTTTAAGGCATGGGGACCTCCTGAATTTTTGTGTATCATATGCATCGTGATAATTTTCTATTATGATTAATACAAATGTGTACTTTACGACTTACGACAATTATGTTCGTCCCAATGTTACGCAGACCCTTTCCCTCCATGGTGTCTGAAAGCACATTAGCGAGTGCTAGTCCACTGAGACAGGCCTAGACAATACATGAGCCCTCAGGTGGGTCCTCGTGCTCGTGGTTCGGTCGTGTATAGAAAAGTACTATACATCCAACCTTGCCGGAACTGGAAAGCTACCTAAGGCAATGCCATTAGAACCTATCATGTCACATGTGTTTGTATTTCTAGACACCAAATGTACAGTTACTTACTACGTATTTCTTAAACTACTTAAACCACGTAATACACTTATTTTTCAGGTAAAGGTTAGGCACCAAGGTACGGATGGGGACGCCGTGACGAAAGCCATGGAACTAGAGGTAGGTAGATACAATTTATGTCTATTTAGTAATCCTTAGGTTAGTTCATGTCAGTGTTTTTATTTTTCATTATTTTATCTAAACTTCACATGATTTATTTTTCACATTATTGTTTTAAAGATTTTATTAGGAACGTGGGAGCCCCATGACACCTTTTATGAAATATTTTATATGAATATTTTGCCTACACATTAATCATGTCATGTATGTAGTAACAACTTTATGTGAGTGATCATGTCTAGGTCGATTTTCCATAGAATAGGTGCTAAAAATTTCTAAAATTCTTCTGGTTGGACATAATTTCCCATTAAAATTAGGTTAATATCGAAATCGAGAAAAATACAGACAAATAAAGGTTAAACAAATGGAAAAAGAAGTATCACTCGTTGGTTATGGACCAACATATGCACAAAGGGGTCGCATGCACAAATATCATGACGATTACATACGCGCAGAGGCGATCACATGCGCAAATGTGGTATGAATCTCAAATTAGGTCAGGCACATAGGGTGTGGGTCACGATTTGAGTCGGACACAGACAATCGAGTCTAAAATTTGTAACTTGTGTATCGTTAATGCCTTCGAATCATTTTCTTAAGATTACAATTAGTTTTTTTATTTTTTCTATTTCTTTGAAGTCTCATCTTCTTTCCTACAAAATTTTAAGAAACTAAAATGGTAAAGTTTTAAGCCTACTTTCAAAAAAAAAAAAAAAACATAATTATTAATCCATTAAAGAAAGAAAGACAGTGGGACTCAAACCCACAAGTCAGACATCTTATCCATTAGGCCACGGACGCTTTTCATTATATGAGCAATCGTATGCAAATTGAATTTTCAAGAGCTTATTATAAGATTAGCCCAAACATGGAGCCCATTGATTAGAGGATACCCACCTGATATGTAAATCAAATAGGCCAAAGAATGATTAACTGTTAAAATTCCATCAATTTTGTTACAAATGTTTTAATTGGGTTAAAAAAATAAATACCAAAGTGAATGGCATGTTCTAAGAAATTAGATAATGAATCTTTCCTAAAAAATAGAAAATGGATCCTAAGTGGTCATATTTGGCTTAAAAAGACTAAAAACAAAAAAGAAAAGAAAGGAGAAATTAAGAAAAAAATTAGAAAGTATTTCTCTACATTGAACTACACGGAAACTAAAAATAAATACCAACATCTCATGTTTTATGAAAAATTAAAGAAAAATAGAATTTGATCCTAATTTTTAATTCTTACGTCCAAGGCTTCAAGTGTTTCAAGAGACACAGTCTAAACATGTATCAAAGGCTTAATGAATTCTTTAGACACAATCTGAAACCTACACCAAATGATTATTATGTTCCATGTGGTGTAATTTGAAACCTACGTCTAAGGCTTCATATGTTTCAAGTGACGCTGTCTAGAAACCTATGCTCAAGGCTTCTACATTCCAAACGACATAGTTTGAATGCTTATGCTCAAGGCTTCATATATTCCAAGTGGCGTACTTTGAAACTTGCATTGAAGACTTCTTACACTCCAAGCAATGTAGTTTGAGTCATGGTTTACCATGAGAAAAATAGGGGTTTCTTTTGTTTCGGAGTCTTAGAACCTTGGTTCTTTGTTCTTAGCATTCTTTGTGCCTTGGAATTTTTTTGGTGTGTGATAAGCTTACTTAATACATGTTTTTAAGGTGGTCTCCTAATTACTTAAAAGTCAAGGTCGAGCTCATTCTAATTTAGGGAAGCATCCAAATTACTTATTAATCTTAATCATATGAGAGTAACCCCTTTGCTTAAAGGCTCACTCTAAAGTTTATCAATAGATAGTAACCTAATTGCTTAATAAAGTGCTATTTTTGAGCTCTTCTTGGGTTAGGTTTGTCACCAAGTTGCTTAAACTCTAAGGACTATCCTAATGGTCTACATGAGATAGTATCCTCTTTGCTTAACAAAAAATCAAGTGGCATTTCCATAACACCCATATGTTTCAAAAATATAATTTTTAATTAAAAAAATTGTTATCAAACATGGTTATATTTTTATTATAAACAATAAGAAGAACTCGTTACCAAACATGTCGTTAATTGCTCTCATTTACAACAAGAATATAAAATGTTGAAACGTCCTTGTTCATCAACTTCAAATTTAATGGACTATTGCATTACACGTTAGAACACGTGTTACTGCCAATGACAAATGGTTAACAATAGCTCCCATGGGTGGTTTTTTTGAAAATAACTAAAATACTACTAATAATAAATAAAAACATTTGTTAATATGCTGGTTACCTATCTCAATACAATGATAACATGTTTCTTTCATTACCATGGGGATAATTGAGATTAAACCTAATAAAAGGGGAACAAACTAAACTTAAATATTCAAATATTTACAACATTAATTCAATTTCAACCCTCCTAATAAACTCAGTTTAGTTTGACCCATAAATTCTCCTACTAAACAAAAAATTTGTCCTATTATGTTATGGGTCAAAATATTGTTTAGATACATTTTGACCATTTGTAGATAAGGTATGAACTACCCTAAGCATAATTTAGTAGATAGGGTATGAATTAAGATCACAAAGTTTGATGGTTCAATTTCTTACTTGTAAAATGTTGAACTTAAAAAAATGAAAATTTAGAGACCTATTAGACATTGACTTAGGTTTACGAACCAAATAGATATAAAGTTGAAAGTTTGTCGGGGACTAAACCTATAATTTAGATAAATTTAAATGTCAAGTAAGCTTTTAATCTTACATGATCTTATATGCTATTTATATGGTATGTTCTTATTACATCCAATAAAAATATTATTAAATTTATTATGATTTTATATTTTTTAATAGAAATTATATTAGGAAAGGTAAATAGAGGGGTTATTTTAGTGTTACTTAAACCTCGAGCAATTTGGTCGGTTAAGGGCCTTAACTCACGGTTCTTTGTGTTTTCCTTTCATATACCCTTAATTCATACTTGGTATAAGATTCATACAAAAATTCAAGTTATTGCTACAAGTATTTCTTAAGAAAAGTCCAAGATGGCTACTTACCTTATCGTTGATGTTCGGGACCTCTGTTTTTGAGCTTTCGAATTCAAATTACCTCAAATTTTCTTCCACATTTTCCTTATTGTGTGCAATTTCTGGAACCACAAATTTTTTCATAAGGATCGGTCTGGAATGAAAGAGCTAGGGATTAATTTACAATGTTTCTTCCCTGCATTTCTTCGTGAAAATAAAGTTGGTGTTTCAAGGAAGAGTTAGGGATTGATTTCATACCTTCTCGTGGATCGTAGTCTAAGATATCCGCCTCCAAAGTTCGTCTCAAATCTATTTTCTTGTGATTCATTATTGGGTAGCCGATTCTAGGAGTTTTCAAGGCCCGACTGTTTCATAGAACCTCTTCTTTGGAGGAACGTCTTTTTGCATGATACTTTAATTTTAAAAATTAGTCCTCTGTCTACAACTCGTCTAAAAACATGAATTTTTCTTTTCTTAGGTAGCTCATTCTACAACGTTTTAACTCTGGATTCCTACATCAAAGTTACTCAACTTGATCCTCTTAATCTAAAGAAATTTTGGATCGTAGATAGGAATTCAACACTTACCCCCAAATTCTACAAGAAACGGATTTTCTTCAACTGGGCACATTCCTGAGGTTATTTTTTTTTGCGATCTTCTATGAAAATACTTCTTGTAGGTGCAAAAACTTATTAGAATTTGTCTTCGTCGACGAACTTGTGTGTACGCCTAGATTTAATTTTCAAGCTTCCTTTGAAGTTATTCAATGGTGGATCAGATTGGGGGAATGGTTTTTAGGCATTTTCAATGCTCGATTCCTTCATAAATCTTGTTTGCAACCTTGTTTAGAAGCA